CTGACTAACTTCCAGCAGATATTCTAACTTCTGGCACACCTCCAGCAGTTATCCCATGAAATGTGCACTATTTCATTCACTCTGCATAGCTATCTTCTGACTAAACTCCCACCAATTATTCTAACTTCCGACTATTGTAACTTCCACCAATTATTCCATGAAACGGTGTGATATCACGAAAAGTTGATCTCTGTATATATACATACGATGTAGCGCAGTCTACAGCAGCACCTTCAATACAACAACAGCAGTACAACAGCAACAGCAGTGTTCACAGTATTGCAGAAGACATATGCCTACAACCTTGCAGCACTTGCAGCAATTGATGATGCCGTGAGATTTGCGTGCATGTTCAAGGTCAAAACAGAGCAAGTTAAGTCTAAAGTTGTGGCATACCACAACAACAACGATCAATCTACACTTGTCAAATCTTCCTTGCTACATACAGCTGCAGAATATTAGGAACAATGAAAACACACATAGAAAGATGGAGAATATGTGCAACTTGGAGGATGTGTGTGGCATATACGTAGTACGTACGTAACCTCCGTGCGGTGACAATACACGATGCACATAATACTCCAGTTCGCGTTGCTTCCGCTAGAGAAGAAGGCGACAGGATGCATGCATGCACTACTGTACCTATACCTACAACGCATACCATATAGTACGGACAGTCTGTCGATGTCTATCTACAGATGAGACCACGCGGCAAAAAAAAGTCTGTGCTAGGTACTGCTTGTATGCTTGTAGGAAGGTTTGTTCGAAGAGCAGACAGAATAAACTGGTGTTTATTTTGTAACAGTCGAGTTAGAATTTGGCTTCATTTTCTATCGGAAACCCAGGGTCACGGTGTTTGGATTTATTATTGAAGTCTATAGCTGGGGATGTCATTCCGTGATCGAGTCCACGCAGGGGTTGTAGCAAAGTCGGGTAACGTGTGAGAGCTACAGAGCGCGTGAAGCAACGGAAGGACAGCAGCAGCCGCCTAACGCAGTAGCGGCGGCAGTTTAGAAAATGGACGGGACGGGACGCGGCGCAATCATTGGGGAAGCGACCAGCGCGCGCTCGGGACCCTCCATGTAAGGTGTGTAATCGGGTCTGTGTCCAATATCTATCGTGTCTGCCGTGTTCCTTCCCGCGTCCCGCTACTCTTGTGACCTCACTGCTGCGTGCATTAGCACGGGGGGGGGAGGGTGCAGTAAGATAAGCGGCGTACCGCAGTCTCTCTCGCCACGCCGTTCAGATAGGTACCCTCCCCACACATGGGATGTGGTTCATCCCAACCGAGATGTACTATCGCTGGAAAAAATATTTCAACGGAGAAAACGCGCTGCTGTACGTGCCACGATAGCAGCCATCGTACTGCACGGGGTGGGGAAACCTTGCGGCATCGGACATAACCGATCGACCCGCGGCAGTGGGGCACGTGGAGTGTGCTATCAAGAGTATGCACATGGTGCCGGTGCCTTGTTCTCTGTTTCCCGCGGCTCACTCGGGACTACTTGCCGGTACATATTCGATGAAAGCCGAATGCATCGACGATAATATGCTCACGTAAGCTATCGTCTCCGCTGATGGCATTGACAAGTCCCACGGAATACAAAGCGGCCGCATGCGTAATTGGAAAGTGCATACAACAGCATTCACGGGAACGGATAAACAGAAGCAGAAACCGTGTTGTTGGCGAGTGGAAGTTAACCGATCTCAACGCAAAAAAAAAAAAAACGAAAGTCGTACACGTATCAGCACGGGACGCGCCAACAAGTGGAAGCACCCGCGCTGTTGGCGAGTAGAGTTCACCGAATTCAACGCATCGGAAGGAAAAAGACCACAAATAATGTATCAGTACGGGACGCGCCAATGAGTGGAAGCACCCGTGCTGCATATATGATGTCAGCCTCAGCACGGGACGCGCCAACGAGTGGAAGCACCCGCGCTGTTGGCGAGTAGAGTTCACCGAATTTAACGCATCGGAAGGACAAAGACCACAAATAATGTATCAGTACGGGACGCGCCAATGAGTGGAAGCACCCGTGCTGCATATATGATGTCAGCCTCAGCACGGGACGCGCCAATGAGTGGAAGCACTCGTGCTGTTGGCGAGTAGAGTTAACCGATCTCACTGGAAAAAACAAAACGAAAGCCGTACACGTATCAGCACGGGACGCGCCAATGAGTGGAAGCACCCGTGCTGTTGGCGGGTAGAGTTAACCGCAATGTGTTGCATGTGCGCTGTCAGCCTCAGCACGGGACGCGCCAATGAGTGGAAGCAACCGTGCTACATGTGTGCTATCAGCCTCAGCACGGGACGCGCCAATGAGTGGAAGCACCCGCGCTGTTGGCGAGTAGAGTTAACTGCATTGTGTTGCATGTGTGCTATCAGCCTTAGCACGGGACGCGCCAACGAGTGAAAGCACCCGCGCTGTTGGCGAGTAGAGTTCACCGAATTCAACGCATCGGAAGGAAAAAGGCCACAAATGATGTATCAGTACGGGACGCGCCAATGAGTGGAAGCACCCGTGCTGAATATGTGATGTCAGCCTCAGCACGGGACGCGCCAATGAGTGGAAGCACTCGTGCTGTTGGCGAGTAGAGTTAACCGATCTCACCGAAAAAAAACAAAAGCCGTACACGTATCAGCACGGGACGCGCCAACGAGTGGAAGCACCCGGGCTGCATATGTGTTGTTAGTTTCAGCAACGGACGCGCCAATGAGTGGAAGCACCCGCGCTGTTGGCAAGTGGAGTTCACCGTATCCAACGCATCGATAAAAACAACAAACACGTATCAGCACGGGACGCGCCAATGAGCGGAAGCACTCGTGTCGCTGCGAACTGGGGTGCCCCTAATCCAAGGTTAAAAAAAAACAACAAAAAACAACAACAACAAAAACCATCGTTATTGCTCTGAAGAGAGAAAAAAAAAACAAAGCACGTCCAAAGTATGTCATATGCGCACTCTCCATATTGTGACGTCGCCTGGGCGTCAGCACGGGACGCGCCAATGAGTGAAGCACGCGTGCGGTAGGCGTCTGGCATTACCGTATTGGATAAAGAGTAGAGGCGGGTACTAACCCTTGCGTGACTGGGTTAATTTGATTTTTTTGTTTTCATTTTCCCCACAACTGGCTCTCTGCCGTCAAAGATCTTCCAAGCATGCGTGTACACCCATAAATCACGGCGGCAAGGATGGTGCAGCAGTAGGTCCATGTGTGGGGCTCACAGGGATGGGGACGCGGTATATGTAAAAGGGTGACGAACAGGAGTACAGCAGTACTACTGCTGTACAGCAGTAGCAGTTTTGCGGAAAGAATTAGACTGTACAGCAGCAGTAGTTCCTGAGCAGGTGTGGATGCCTGTCTCCGACAGCAACCGTCCGCACACAGGATGTACCTGTGCAAGCAATACCTGTTGGCACATCTTTTGCACCTCATCCTTGGACAGAGCATAGGGCAAGCCCATATATATGCTAGCGGCGCTAGATGCGAACACGCGGACGGGAGACCGCCTCACAGAAGCGCCAGATCGACGGAAAAAAAACCGGCTTGCTCACCAGAGAATCGAGAGCATCACCCACTATCGCAAAAAATGCATAAATGGGGAGTTTCGGAACCGTGTTCGACCAAAATAGATTTAGGTGGAACTTCTAGATTTAGGTGGAAGGGTCTAGTTCTGGGAACGTTCCTCAAAGCGGGGGAACATCGAGCTCCTAAATCTGGAAAGGGACTTTCAGATTTAGAAAAGTAGAGGCTTGGCGCCGCTTTTTTCTAAATCGAAATCGCTTTCAGGAGACGATATAGATTTAAGGAGGAAGGAGCAAAGAGACCCACCACCACAACAACAACAGCTGTAGTATGGAGCTCCAGGCACCACGGAAGGTGCGGTTGTGTGGGCTCCATCGCTGCCAACGAAGAGAGGAGGTCAGACCTACACCTACCTGGGGGTTGGTTGCTCTGCGTGTGTGTGTGGAAGTGCGGTACGTATATGAGGCGTGGAGCATTCCAAGAAAGAAAAAGCACGCGTGCGTGCGTGCGTGTGTTTGATCACCACCTACCTGTCAGTCTGTTTTGTTGTTGCTGCTGCTGGGTTGTTGCTGGGCAAGAGAAGAAGCGACACGAGGAAAAGAGGAAGATCAGACTTGTCTAGACGGCTCGGCGATGAGCTCTACTATATATATGTAATCGGGGTGTAGTGTGTGTGTGCGTCTGCTCTCTTCTTGTTTGCTTCTTCCTCTCTCTCTCTCTCCTCTCTTTCTCTCTCTCGTGGAAAACGCTATTTCTCTCGTTCGCACACAGCAACAAAAGAGAAGTGAGGCTCTTTGATCACCCTCCTCCTCACAGATTGCACTGTTGGTGCAGCCCCTCAACTACATGCGTGCGTGGTCTGTGTCAACCTCCTCATCAACCTCCACACCGCCGTGTGTGTGTGTCTGCCGATGTGTGATGTGATGTTTCGATGCAGCAGCAGCTGTCCCTTTTTTTTTTTCTGCCGCCTTTCCGCGCCGGCGTGTTTTCTTGCCGCGTTCAACTCCGTGGTCTCCACAAAATAAAGTTCCGAGAACGTTCGTTACACCTAAATCGAAAAGTTGTCTTCCTAAATCGAGAAGTTGTTCCGAAACTCTCTAATATCGTTATAAAATTTACTACTCTGTACTACAAATAGACAGCTGTGATCGGAGCTGTGATCGGAGCTGTAGTCCCGAAAACCCTTGAATTTGAGCGAAATTTTGCACACAGCAGACGAACCACCCTTCACTCCCAATACTGGGAACCACACGCACCGCAACCACAACAACATCAAGCATCGAGGCAGTACGTTAGCATCGGCTCCGGTGTGCGCTTTCTCTGCTCTCCCCCGCGGATGCGGCACCGGGTTGAGCAGATGTTCAGGGGCTGTATGTACCCTCCGATGGTATTGTGCGTCTGAATCTTAAGACTACAGCAGTATCGGTAGGCAGTAGATTGGATCTGGCAAGGATATCTGCCCCACGTCAGAGAGATGAGGCATGGGTGATTAGTGCTGTGCTATGTGAGTCCTGTGCGCATTGCTGATAAGCGCGCTTTTGGGGTGGGCTGCCTGTGTCTCCCTGCTGGTCTCTTATGTAGTTGTTTGCTCTTAGCCGAGGCACAACGGCGATCTTTCGGCACGCAAAGTGATCGGCGCTGAGGACGGAGCTGAATCGGCCTGTACTCACGTAAGGGTTAAAGGCCACTTAACCCCTTTAGGGCTGGATCGAGTTTTGGGGACATTTTTTGTCCCCATATTTATTATTTTGTTTTCTTTCGAATTGCTTCATTATTTCTTCGGTTTCTAGGCTACGTGTTGGGGAGAGAGACGCACGAAACGCTCATCGTCTCTCCGGCCGCGTTAGCTGCAAAGGCCGGCGTCAACTCTTACAAATCCATCTCTCTCCCCACAAATACTAGCCGAGGGACTACGACTGCAAACGCAGGAGTCCCAAAACTGACCAAGTCCTCAAATGGTACACACCATTCTACAACACCTGACTAGATACCGAATATTCCCGAACTTATGCCCCCACCTTCGAAAGAAAAGGGATGGGAGGGCGGGATTTTCTAAACTGCCGCCGCTACTGCGTTAGGCGGCTGCTGCTGTCCTTCCGTTGCTTCACGCGCTCTATAGCTGTCACACGTTACCCGACTTTGCTACAGCCCCTGCGTGGACTCGATCACGGAATGACACCCCCAACTATAGACTAATAATTCCAAACACCGTGACCCTGGGTTTCCGGTAGAAAATGAAGCCAAATTCTAATTCGACTGTTACAAAATAAACACCAGTTTATTCTATCTGCTTCGACGAACAAACCTTCCTTTTATTTTGTTTTCTTTCGAATTGCTTCATTATTTCTTCGGTTTCTAGGCTACGTGTTGGGGAGAGAGACGCACGAAACGCTCATCGTCTCTCCGGCCGCGTTAGCTGGAAAGGCCGGCGTCAACTCTTACAAATCCATCTCTCTCCCCACAAATACTAGCCGAGGGACTACGACTGCAAACGCAGGAGTCCCAAAACTGACCAAGTCCTCAAATGGTACACACCATTCTACAACACCCACATCGAGGTCAGTTTCTGGACGACTACCGAATAAGTCAACTATCCGTTCCCCCAGACGGTCCCCTCCCCCGGCTGTCTCGATACGATCCTACTGCCGTCTGTAAGTTTCCGTGACACTCGCCGCGAATCCTCTACATTGTTTCGCGCGTACGGCTTGTATGCATCCGACCTCCACTTTCCTTCTCTCTGAATCACTCGTTCTGCGATGTCTCCGCCCGATGCAAGAGCCGTCGCGCCTCCAATTCGCAACGAGCGCAACGCGTACTCCTGGGGGTTACGCCCCGACTTCGCTACCACTTCTCTGACTACACGGAGGGCAGCAGTATACCTCACTACTCTCACTGCTCTTCCACTACGGTACGAAGCCAACGGTGCGGAGTCAGGCAACGTCGCATGACACGATAACAGCTCCACCACAAGAGCCACCGCGCCGCCGCGTGCTCTCACACCTGACTGCGGTCCGGTGACTTCGTCTCGCGTACGAACCCGTATGTTTCCTTTCTGCTCTTGATCGGCCTTGTGCCCTCTAAACCTCATTTCGACACGGTCTGCTCTACGATAGTGACTAAAGACTAATTGCGTCTCGCCAGCAAACAATGCTACGTCCGCCCTCGTAAGACAGTGTGCCTCATGCACCCTGCCCGCATCATTCGCGAACACCTCATCAGACCGTGTGATAAAGAGATAGGACAAGCACAGACACAGCCACATCACTCTGCCCCCTTCCCCCCAGTTCTGGCTTGCGCTTTCCCCGTCCAGCAGCATACGCCAAGACACAGGCAGGCGCACACGGCGTACCGTCCCCACAGCCACGTGGTTTCTCGCAATCCCCCTTAGCGCACATTTCAACATCGGAGACGACAAATCTAGCTCGACAGAAGCTTCCAGCCTATGAAGATGTTGTACAGCCGTGAGTTTTCCGGATATTGTACTCGCTAGATTACCCTCAGACTCGAAACACCAGGCTACGAAGTCTATCAACTCCCACACATGAAGGTCCCCGGCACGTTGTCCTAGGAACTTTGGCTTCTCCGTCAGCCTGCGAAACGTGCCCCAAGAGTTGAAGCCTGACGTGTAAGTCCTTCTAGACGAAGACGCAACTGAGTGCTCGACGAGCTGCATGCCAAGACGTCGGTAACAAAGTCCCGTCCTGCCTGTCCCAGGTCCTGAACCTGCTGATAGCCCTGGAGCCAACCTCGTGTAGACCGGCGTGCTGCCGTTCGATTTAGCCGCAGGTGCGCTGCCATCCGAGGTAGGCCCCCCCGCTACGCGGGAGAGCCCGCACCCCTATTTGTCTTTCCCGTGGGTGAAGAAGTCAGCGGCCTTGGGTCTCGCGCCGCCCTCGCCAGCGGCGCGCGCCTCTCCTCCGCGCCCTCCCCCGTTGCCGTGGCCAACGCCGCGCGCGCCGGTTGCCGGAGTTTCGGACGCTCCGCGCCTAGCGTGGGAAGGGTTCTGGGCGTGGATGTGTGGGCAGTTACGATCATGGCAACCGGACGACGAGTTGAAGGCGAGGCAGTAACCACGAGCGTGTCGAGCGATGCCGCCACTTTCTCTGTCACCAGAACGCCTTTGCGAAGCAAGGATTGCCACTCCATCTGAGACAGTTTTGAAACTGCCGGAGGCCGCCCCAGGATGAGCCACGCTTTTACCCGGCGGAGGTCCCCCCACATCCGCGCTCTATCCTTTGCCGTAGCCTTAGCCGCCTCGGCGCTGGGTGTAGCGGGGGCCCGAGAGGCCGCTGGTGGGGCGGTTGTGCCCACCAGTTGCACCCCCCCCCCGAAGGCCAGGTCCTGCTGCTTGGGTGGCGATCAGGTCGTCGATCGTTGCTTGAAGCTGCTGGCGATCGCCGGCAGCCTCATCGCGCTTCCGCTGCAGCTCCCCCCTCAGGCCGTCCACCAGCCCGCGGAGAGAAGCGAGCTCAGTCTCATCAGCGGGGGGGTCGCCGCGGGTGCCTGTCCCTGGCGCTCGCGAGGAGGATACCGCTCGACGCCTCGCGGGAGTACGTGATCCGCTGCGCGTCGAGGGGCGAGCCGTCGAGCTCGCCACCGATCGCGCGGTAGACCTCCTCGTGCGTGGTGTCGAAGGTGTCGGCGCCCGACCTCGCCCTGCTTGCCCAGCCGCTGCCCTGCCGCTCCGCGTGGAGGCCCGTGTCGGCATCTGGTCGCGGTTGGAGTCGTATAAGCAGCGGACCGGCGGCAGGCGGCGGGCGAGCGTCAGGGCGGCGTTGCGGGAACACTTCTTTTCCTCTTCATCGTGGGCGTAGTCGATCGCGCGCCTGGATCTGCAGTTAGAATGGTCTACAAATCCTATCTTCGGGCGAAACTATCTGACGTGGGTTTTCGTCGGGCCCAGAACGACGCGTTGTTGTATCGCGAGCTCGCGTTAGTTCGTTCTCGACGCCTGTGGATTGAATGGAGTGATTTTTGCTGCTGACGCTACGGTCACCGGACGTCGACCAATCCCGAATATTTCTCTCTTTGGAACACTAGCGATGGTTTCTCTCTTTTTTTTTTATATATATATTTTCTTGGATTCGGTGAACCCCGGTTCGCCATCGGCACGGGTGCTTCCACTCATTGGCGCGTCCCGTGATGATACGTGTTTTTTTGTTTTCATCGATGCGTTGGATACGGTGAACTCTACTTGCCAACAGCGCGGGTGCTTCCACTCATTGGCGCGTCCCTCGCTGAAACTGACAACACATATGCAGCACGGGTGCTTCCACTCATTGGCGCGACTGTACTGATACTTGTACGCAGCGCGGGTGCTTCCACTCATTGGCGCGCCCCTTGCTGAAACTGACAACACATATGAGCACGGGTGCTTCCACTCATTGGCGCGTCCCGTGCTGATACGTGTATGACTTCGTGTTTCGATGCGTGGAGATCGGTTAATTCTAGTCGCCAACAGCACGGGTGCGTCCACTCATTGGCGCGTCCCGTGCTGATACGTGTACGGCGTTTCGTTCTTTCTTTTTGAGATCGGTTAACTCTACTCGCCAACAGCACTCATTGGCGCGTCCCTTGCTGAAACTGACAACACATATGCAGCACGGGTGCTTCCACTCATTGGCGCGTCCCGTACTGATACGTGTACGACTTCGTTTTCGATGCGTTGAATTCGGTTAACTCTACTCGCCGACAGCACGGGTGCGTCCACTCATTGGCGCGTCCCGTGCTGATACGTGTACGGCGTTTTGTTCTTTCTTTTTGAGATCGGTTAACTCTACTCGCCAACAGCACGAGTGCTTCCACTCGTTGGCGCGTCCCGTGCTGAGGCTGACATCACATATGCAGCACGGGTGCTTCCACTCATTGGCGCGTCCCGTGCTGATACGTGTATGACTTCGTGTTTCGATGCGTGGAGATCGGTTAATTCTAGTCGCCAACAGCACGGGTGCGTCCACTCATTGGCGCGTCCCGTGCTGATACGTGTACGGCGTTTCGTTCTTTCTTTTTGAGATCGGTTAACTCTACTCGCCAACAGCACTCATTGGCGCGTCCCTTGCTGAAACTGACAACACATATGCAGCACGGGTGCTTCCACTCATTGGCGCGTCCCGTACTGATACGTGTACGACTTCGTTTTCGATGCGTTGAATTCGGTTAACTCTACTCGCCGACAGCACGGGTGCGTCCACTCATTGGCGCGTCCCGTGCTGATACGTGTACGGCGTTTTGTTCTTTCTTTTTGAGATCGGTTAACTCTACTCGCCAACAGCACGAGTGCTTCCACTCGTTGGCGCGTCCCGTGCTGAGGCTGACATCACATATGCAGCACGGGTGCTTCCACTCATTGGCGCGTCCCGTACTGATGCGTGATTTGTGGTATTTTTGTACCGCTGCGTTGAATTCGGTTAACTCTACTCGCCAACAGCACGGGTGCTTCCATTCATTGGCGCGTCCCGTACTGATACGTGTACGGCGTTTTTGTTCTTTCTTTTTGAGACCGGTTAACTCTACTCGCCAACAGCACTCATTGGCGCGTCCCTTGCTGAGGCTGACATCACATATGCAGCACGGGTGCTTCCACTCATTGGCGCGTCCCGTACTGATGCGTGATTTGTGGTATTTTTGTACCGCTGCGTTGAATTCGGTTAACTCTACTCGCCAACAGCACGGGTGCTTCCACTCATTGGCGCGTCCCGTGCTGATACGTGTACGGCGTTTTGTTCTTTCTTTTTGAGATCGGTTAACTCTACTCGCCAACAGCACGAGTGCTTCCACTCATTGGCGTGTCCCGTGCTGAGGCTGACATCACATATGCAGCACGGGTGCTTCCACTCATTGGCGCGTCCCGTACTGATGCGTGATTTGTGGTATTTTTGTACCGCTGCGTTGAATTCGGTTAACTCTACTTGCCAACAGCACGGGTGCTTCCACTCATTGGCGCGTCCCGTGCTGATACGTGTACGGCGTTTTGTTCTTTCTTTTTGAGATCGGTTAACTCTACTCGCCAACAGCACGAGTGCTTCCACTCGTTGGCGCGTCCCGTGCTGAGGCTGACATCACATATGCAGCACGGGTGCTTCCACTCATTGGCGCGTCCCGTACTGATGCGTGATTTGTGGTATTTTTGTACCGCTGCGTTGAATTCGGTTAACTCTACTCGCCAACAGCACGGGTGCTTCCACTCATTGGCGCGTCCCGTGCTGATACGTGTATGACTTCGTGTTTCGATGCGTGGAGATCGGTTAATTCTAGTCGCCAACAGCACGGGTGCGTCCACTCATTGGCGCGTCCCGTGCTGATACGTGTACGGCGTTTCGTTCTTTCTTTTTGAGATCGGTTAACTCTACTCGCCAACAGCACTCATTGGCGCGTCCCTTGCTGAAACTGACAACACATATGCAGCACGGGTGCTTCCACTCATTGGCGCGTCCCGTACTGATGCATGATTAGTGGTATTTTTCTACCGCTGCGTTGAATTCGGTTAACTCTACTCGCCGACAGCGCGGGTGCTTCCACTCATTGGCGCATCCCGTGCTGATACATGTATGACTTCGTGTTTCGTTGCGTTGAGATCGGTTAACTTCCACTCGCGAACAGCACGGACGAGTGCTTCCACTATTGGCGCGTCCCGTGCTGGTGCGTGTCCTTGTTTGTTTTTTCCATTGAGATCACTTCCGCATAGACAATCCTACGGCAGGTTGACGAGTTTTTGGCATGCATCAATTGCTGTCCGGGCGTTTTTGGAACGGTCGCTTAATCGTCGATGGACGTGACGTATTCTTATAGAAGGTTTGTTTCACGTCGGCAATAACTTTGACGTGATGCCCCTCGAGACCGTGATGAACTCGCACGGACGGTCACCTGGCGATCTTCGCGAGGTCGAACCTCGCGTGTGACTTTTCACCTTCCCCTCCTTTTTTTTTCTCATCTTCTTTTTCCTTATGCATACAGCACGTAGTTCGCTGTCTCGTTTTTTTTTCTCGTCTTCTTTGTTTTTCAGTCTTTTTCTTTGAGTCTTTCTCTCGCATGCATGTGGTTTTGCTTTTATCCGTTCCCGTGAATGCTGTTGAATGCACTTTCCGATTACGCATGCGGCCGCTTTGTATGCCGTGGGACTTGTCGATACCATCAGTGGGGACTTGTCAAAACCATCCGTGGAGACGATTGCTTACGTGAGTGAGCATATTATCGTCGATTCCTTCAGCTATATGCCCCTATGTGCGCGGCACAGACAAGATTGTACCGGCAAGTAGTCCCTAGTAAGCCGGGGGAAACAGAAAACAAGGCACCTGCCTCATGTGCATACTCGTGACAGCATCATGCCCTACTGCCGCGGGTCGATTGGTTATGTCCGATGCCGCAGGGTTCCTCCACCCCGCGCAGTACAATGGCTGCTATCGACCGCGACAAGTCAGCGTGCGACCATACAACAGGCCCCGCTCTTTCTTTTTGCCGTTGAATTTTTTTTTCTTCAGCGAGAGTACGTCTCGGTTGGGACGAACCGCATTTTTTTTCTTCAGCGAGAGTACGTCTTGGTTGGGATGAACCGCATCTCATGTTTGGGAAGGGACCTATCTGAGCGGCGCGGCGAGCGAGACTGCGGTGGCTTGCCGCCGCTTATCTTACTGCACCCTCCCCCCTCGTGCGAAATGCACGCAGCGGTGAGGTCACAAGAGTAGCGGGACGCGAAGAGGAACACGGCCGACACGATGGATGTTGGACACGAGTACACACCTTTATATGGAGAGTCACGTGCTGGTCGCTTCCCCAATGCTTGCGCCGTGTCCCGTCCCGCCCTTTTCTAAACTGCCGCCGCTACTGCGTTAGGCGGCTGCTGCTGTCCTTCCGTTGCTTCACGCGCTCTGTAGCTGTCACACGTTACCCGACTTTGCTACAGCCCCTGCGTGGACTCGATCACGGAATGACACCCCCAACTATAGACTAATAATTCCAAACACCGTGACCCTGGGTTTCCGGTAGAAAATGAAGCCAAATTCTAATTCGACTGTTACAAAATAAACACCAGTTTATTCTATCTGCTTCGACGAACAAACCTTCCTATTTTTTATTTTTTTTATATTGACTTACATTTTGTATCCAGCGATTCCAAGTTTTATCCTATTGCTCGATTTTATTAGGCAATAAGGTTCATGGCGCGATTTCGTGCTAAGCGAGACTGTGGGGCCAGCCAAAGAGCATCCCACTTTCATCGCTGTGCCGCGTACCGCACGCGGCGCAATACAGCACACAGCACACAGCACACAGCACACAGCACACGAGCACACACATCCTCCGCCACTCGTAGTCTCGGTGCAACCCTGGGGGACAAGAACAGGCACATGTCTTGGGAACATGATGCACAAAAGTACGGCCGACAACTGCTGCATGCAGCCTCAAAGCGTTATAGCGGTGACCTCCCAGTTCTCTCCGGGGAGGACACGGCGAAGTGCACGGTGCTGGAGGCCGCAGGTGACGGCAATTGCTCACTTCACAGCATCTACAGGCTGCTGCACCCCGAGCGAGATAGCGTCGTGGGTGCAACACCAGAGGAGATAAGAGAGACCCGACAAGAAATGGGTGATGAAATGGCAGCAGTTGTTTTCGCTGAGGACTACGATCTGTTACTGGACAACACGGTGTCCGAGGAAGAAATGCGGAGATTGTCCAATCTCGACTTCGACAAGGGTTTCTACCGAAAGCGCACCTCCTACTCCAGCCGAGCTACAGGAATCAAACCAGTGAAGACTGTGGAAGAGGTGGTACAGGACATCCACAGACAACTGGGGAATGATTACTTGGCGGTATGTCAGCTGGCGTTGGTAGCCGAGGTGAAGGAGTGTAATATCGTGGTCTGGGAAGCAAAAATGGGAGGTGGGCTTCGAATCGTGGAAATAGGCGAGACCACGGGCTGTTTCGTTGGCAATCTTTTTGGGAAGGATTTTCCGCACCTGGTGTACAATGACTGCGGGGGCCACGTTGCAGATAATTACGCTGAAGGTGCGGTTATAGTGCGCGACCCGAGCAGCAGCAACGTGGCGGCAGCAAAGATGAACCACTTCAGCGCTATCGTGATCCCACAAGAACTCGTGCCATGGGCATTGCCGTGCATGCTCGCACGGGGTTCCTCCGGCGAGTCTGTTTTTGGGCATAGGGAGGCTGCAGACGATTTTTGCCCGTGTCCAACCACATCGGACAAGCGTTCGACGAAACACCGGGGCTCTTCCATTGTTGTCGACACTGGTGATGATGACCAAACCAAGACAAACAGCAGCGTGCGATCTCCCCGCTCTGCTGGAGGTGCGCGGTCAGTCACAACCGCACCCACCGGCGTATCCGGCGTATCAAAGCCGGAGGTGCCGCTGGGGAAAGCGGCGATCACGCGCGCCACACTTCCTTCTGCCAGCAGCATGTCGGCGACGCCCGTGGTGAATGAGACGCCGACGCCGGCGGAAACGCCAACCAAGCTCGCCAGCAGCGAAGCGCAAGAGCTGTCTTCAGATGCGGCGAAGTCGGAGACGCTAGAGGGAGGTGCTGCCGGCGCAGATCCGTCAAAAAAGAAGCACGGAAAGCGCAAGCGCCGCGAGACTTGCAATGCTTTATTCGCCAGCGGGAAAAGGCAACGGCAGCGCTGTGGGGCCGAGGCGAAATCCCCCTGTGGTACGCTCTGTAGCATGCACAGTAAGAAGGGTGGCCAGAACCGTACTTGCGGTAGGGGTGGAAACGGCGGTGATGACGAAACGGAATACGTGCAGGAGCCTGAGGGGGACGAGGAGATGAGTGACGGGGGTAGCGACGGCGAGTTTCCGGGGGATTTGGCAGACTATGACGAGCCGTCCGTGACTATCAAAAGCCCTCAGCAGATCAACGCTATGGTGGACAAGATACCGGAGGGCTGGGGAAAGGCGGCCCTGAAGTTCGTCTTCGAGTTGGTGCAACACACACATGACTTCCGAAACGACCGCAAGGTAAGGATGTGTGCATTGATATAACTAGGATACTATTTTTTCCGGCAAACGCTCGTCGCTTTCCGGTGTGATGTGTTGTCGTTTGGGACCACAACGGCAGCACGAAAGCTACAGAGGTACGACTTCGTTCGGCAAAACAGGTTTACAAAGTTTGATGTACACGGAGTTTTGACATCAACTACTCACACCACCGCGCGTCGGGGGAGGGGGGGGTGTACTCATAGTCGTGCATGCCGTAGTCGTTAGACCATTGACCTCGCATCCCTACAAAGCCGGGACCGAGCACGCCGGGTTCGCACCGGACCAGGCTCTCACATCACCAAGCGCGAAGCGCCGTGAGATGTTCGACGAGTCGCATGAACGGTGCGCTGCATCCTGATTAGGGTGTTCGTCATCTTGTGCTTACTTCCTTGCACACAGATGACAGCTGCGTATGACTTAGTTTATTTTCTTGTGCTTTCTTTTCCAGAGACAGTTAGAAGCACCGTGTACCTGCCTCGAGGATGCTTGACCTTTTCAACACAACGTGGTGCGATCATCCCCCTTGCGCGGAGTGAGGGTTATCGACCCCGCACAACATGAGCTACTCGACCACCCATGGTTACCGCAAAAAAAAAAACAGAGGTAAAAAAATAAAACGGTAACCTGGTTGCCGAGTTCACGAAGTGACTTGGCATATTTTACAACGTCGTTGCCAAGCGACAAAAACCCAATCCCGATAGCAAACACCGATGGGGGGGGGTGGGTGTTGTTTTTTGTGTCCCTTGCACGAAATTTGATATTGGTCGTGCACCACTTTGTGTATGCTTGTTGTTGCTTCTCCCACTCTGCAAACGTGTATTGCTGTAAATAATTTCGTTTCGTAGCCATCAGCAGCGTCGTTGATGCTGCTGTGAGTGTGGGATATGGTTTTTTTGTTTTTCCGTTTCCCCCCGCCCCCCCGCCCCTATCGTCTTCTCGGGGTGTCCACTTTGTCCTTGCACCCCTTACCATCGTATGTTTAACGCCAGTCCACAATTTTTTTATCACGTGATGGGATGGCAACAATGGCCCCTGACCGTTTTAGCCACCCCCGCCCCTACCCTTTGGAGGACGGGTGGTCAATGGTTTAACCGTAAGGGCATGCAAAACATAAGAGTCCCCCCCCCCCCCCCCGCCCCTACCCTGTTCTCTGCAATACCCGGTTGTTTCCATGCCATCGTCCACAACAGAAGAAGAACATGGCCAAGTCGAAGGTCCACAAGGATGCTCCGGAGGGGGGTGGTGAGACAGGCGAGGAGGAGAAGGGCGAGGAGGGGCTAGATACCACCGATGAGCACGTCTGGACAACACGCGGCATGAAAAATGTAGGTCGTACCGCTGGATACGACGGCGGCCGCTGCAGCGGTAAGGATGCCCGTGGTGGAAATGGCGGTAGAGACTGTGACAGCAGTAGGAGCGGCACCGTGCGGAATAGGGGTGAGGGAGAGGGTGCAGCAGATGACGACAGGAGTCGTACCGGAGCGGGGGGCGGTGCTGCGGGCTCATGTGGGGGTGGTGGGTTTGATTTTGACGGTGAAGGCTCCTACCGAGGAGACGGGCACGGGTACTACGATTGCCACCGTAATAAAGCGGGAGAGGGACACGATTTGAAGTTCAAACCGTCGAAGACAACTTTGGACGCGTTGCCGAAGTTTGACCCCGAGAAGTTGGGCAGGTTTTCAGTGGATGGGCTAGGCGAGCTGGTGTTCACGTTCTTCTGCATCATGTTCCCGGCGGCGGTGATCTCACACCTGGTCCTGAAGGTTAGTGCAAGCGCCCGTTCCTGTTGTGTCTTTGATCATGCAACGGTAGCACTTGTTGCTTTTTTGGGGGAGCTGTTCGTCACGTGTTCATGCCGTGATTGAACCGTAATGGGTGGTTGGGTTGTGGCGCATGGTACACCCTCAATTCACTTTCTGAACACTCTTGATTACCCATTCGCACTTGCCCACCGCCCACGGCCACCGTCGCGACAGACAAACGAGTGCTTCAAGTTCTGCACGAGCACAAAGAACCCCAAGGGACAGGAGCAGCGTCACCGCGACAAGAAAGAGAAGAAAGGTAAATCCGTGTGGCCGAGGGGGGGGGTCACCACGAAGATGATGCTAGGTGTCATCGGGATCACCCTCGCCATCGGACAGGTCCAGTTGCCGGAGCTGCAGGACCACTGGAGCTGTCACTCCTTCCACGACTACAAGCTCGTGCGTGCTTGCCTCCCGCGAGACATGTTCCTCCTGATCTACGGCCGTTTTTTTCACATGGCAAGCCCGGCGGCTCCAAAACGATTGCAGGACGGGACCGTTGAGGAGGGTTGGGATTCGCTACACCATATCCGGTATGAATTGTCAAGCTGGCTTGTCCGTGGAGATTGGAGATATCTCTAAGCAATGACAGTTGATATTTGGCGCCCATTAGGTTTTTGGCGCCCGGTTTTGAGTGCGAGGCCGTGCCTGAATAGTACTTGTCGGAATCTGCTCCCCAACGACAAAAACACAACGCTCGAAAAGAAACACGCCCCCCCCCCCCCCCCCCCCCCCCCCCCCCCCCCTCTCTTTTCCCCCCCCCCCTTTCTCCCAATCCCCCCCAAATTTTTTTTCCCCCTCCCCTTTATTTAAAATTTAAACCCCCCCCCCCAAAAACCTTTTTTCCCCCCCCCTCCCAAAATTTACTTCCCCAAAAAAATTTACCCCTTTTCCCTCTTTCCCCCCCCC